TAATATAGATAATAATTTAATTTGAAAAAATTTGAGAAGAAAAATTCTTTAAATGAATATTATTTTTCCCTATATAAATTTAAGAATAGACTAGATGTCTAAAGATGAGAATTGGAAAAACTAGATTTGTATCCTGAGTCATCATTTTTGTTATTTATTATAGTTGTATTAGGATTTGTTTTTGAGTTATTTTATGAATTATGAGTTGAAATTCACACTTAGGAGTATAAATGTTTCAACTATATGACCGGAAACAAAAATTATGAGTATGAGTGGCTGAATCTTTACGTAAATCAAATTTTTTCAGTCGGATCTAATCATTTAGAATGAACATCATTATTACAGTTACTACATCTTCAAAGTAATGTAATGAATCTAACCTTTATTTTTGCAAACTATTTCTCCTGATTTACATGAAATCTCAACATTTTTACGAAGATGCAATAATTAAATACTTTAATAAAGGTAAAAAAATTATTGTTTTTATTCCTATACCTTTTCTATCTGCATTGTGAAAATTTATAATCACTACAATTATTTTATTTGGATTGAAGCCTTTAATTACCAAATAATCTATAATGAACAGGTAATTTTTCTGTTTAAATTGTTAGCCCCATATACAATTATTTCCATATTTAATAGATGTAAATTAATTTTAAAAATAATTTAGATTATCATATTGATCATATGTTTTAGGATTTTTTAGGATCATAATCACATATTTGATTCATTTATTTACTGTGAATATAATTATTTAGTTCTCTGTAAAAATAAGCTCATTTATCTGTATTTTATAAGGATCCGTTTATCTTTTTAGATATGATGTGTTTAGAAATCTTAACTTTGTAAACATTGTAATTATGACTGAAAGGAAAGCAGTAAATTTTTAACAAGTAACATTTAGTATTGAAAGTATAGTTAGAAAATAAAATAATATATTTATTCAGTGTAATTATAAATGAATATTGAAAAGTTCAAAAAAAATTATCTAACAGGATTGGTATTTAATTATGTAATGATTATTAAATTATTATATATTCTTATTAAGAATTCCATAGATATATTAAATCATATAAATAATAATAAAATAAACATTTCTTTTTTATAATAAACAAAGTATTTAAATCAAGAAGTTGAATAATTCCTTTTAATATATATAGTTTTGATTGGTCTAAAATGAATATTATTATTTTTTTCTTTCAGATTCTAACCTTCTGCTGCAATAGTTTATAGTTATTATTATTATTATATAGATTGCTAATCATTCATAGATGTATTTAATTCTCTTAGTAATTCTCTTCTACTATTTTTAATTTTTCTCTAAAAATTTTTTACTGCTTAATTATTGACCATCAATTTTGAAGTATGTTTTGGTTGTTTATTTTTAGAGGTATATTTTTATTTTTTTTCTTCATATTTAATTGTAGCTTAATAGTATTTTTCCATTAATATTAGAGATATATTATTTTAAGATTCCTTATTACTACTCATAATTCTTTCTCTAGATACTTTTACTATAGGTATATCTAACAATTTAACTTCTTGTATGCTTAATCTACTTTTAACAGATTCTAATATTTGTATAGAAGATCTGTTTTATTAACTTACAGGCTATTCTTTATTGGATACTCTATATAAAGAATATTAGGATGGTTATTTAACTTTCGAATGAATCTAATATTTTTGAGATTTGCTTCTCTATTTCTATGACATGTTTTTCTTTTGGGAATAACTTAATGAAGGAATCTTTTCTAATTCAAATATTTTCATTTTTTCTTTTAAAACATCTAAAGCCTTACTTCCTAGACTTTCTTCAGGTTCTGTCTTGCATTATACATTACTTGAATAAATTAATGAATTGTGCATAAAAATATATAATAATATTTATATACAAAGTTTTTTTACTCACAAAATCAATTTAATTGTCCTTTATAAATTTTCTGCATTTTTACCATGTGCTGTCAATAAATTTATCAATCTTAATATAGATCTTTTCATTCTATCAGTTGAAAGAGACTCTTTCTTGTAAAACTATTAATTTTCTTTTTGAAATTATTCTCTTATTGCCATTTCCTATAATAAAATAAAATAAAATACTGGTTCAATATTATTAATGATATGTTATATAGAATCTAAAGGTAATAGAGTAAGCAATTGAAAATAATTACCAAGTTCAAAATCTGGTATTTCTTTAATATTTATTAAGGGGATTAAATTAAGTAAATGATCTTTTGGTACATCATAATTCCATTTTATATGCATTTCAAAAAGTATTATTATTAAAATCTTTGGAGAAAATGTCTATTAATGTGCTTTCTGTTAAAGAACTTAAATAATATCTTCTACCATAAATTTCTAATAATCTCCCAAATAAGTCAAATTAAATACAAAAGATTGCAAAGCTATATCACTATATGATGAAATTCCAATCTTTTTTACTCTATTTAATATACTTTATATTATTATTATTATTTCAAGCTTTGAAAACTATTCCCTTAACTTTAATAAAGCAGTTATTAAAATTGTTGTCTCTTTAGGTGTCATATTATAAAAGTCTAAATTTTATGAAAAGTTAGACATCAAATATTTATAATAGTTTTTATAAATTTTAATAATTTATCCTAAATATGTTGCTTCTTATTCTTATTCAATCTAACATAATCCTTTAATCAAGAATGAAATTTATGAAAACATACAACCAGATATTTTATACTCTGGTTTATGATTTTAAATTGCATATTTAATTAAATCTTACCATTTTTTTATAAATTCTTCATTTTTTATTAATGAATTATATTTTAAAAGAGTTTAACCAAAAATATAAATTAATTTTACTTAAATAGTAAAATCATATTATATATTTCCATTTAAAATAAATTAATTAATAAAGGATTACATTATCTATTCATTAACAATACCCAATAAACAAGCTTAATTTATAATAGAGATTATATCTTCATTAAAAGAATGCAAATTAGTTTAAATTATTTAAATTAAGGTTAATTTGTTTGTTTTTGACAAAAATTAACTATTTTAGTATATTTTTTCTAAAAGCATGATTAATTCTCTTATTTCAACATCATTAACATTCAAATAAAAAGCCAAAGAGTTATTGAATTGAAGACTATTGGAATAAAATAAGTCATCAATCAAAAATTAAAATTTGTCAATAATAACATTAGGAGATTCAAATTCGCTCATCTCATAATTTGCAAAAAAATGTTCTAATTTACCATATTGAAATCTAATTTAATTTTTGGATAACATTTTAAACATTCGAACTGTTCTTATAGTAAAAGATGATGCCTTATTAATCATCAATAATTTAATTAACCAGAATTAAACTGATAACAATTAATTTTTAAAGAATTTTATATATAAATTAATTATCTAGTAAGCAGATTGTTAACATATATTATAAATATTTTAATTTATGAATAAAAATAAAGAATCTGTAAAGCAAACTTAAAATATCAAAGCAAATGATTCTAATATGAATAAAAATAAAGAATTATAGAAGCTTGTATAAAATAATAAGCATTTTGAATTTTTACCTAGTGGAAAAATTAAATGCATTTTAACAAATCATGAAATCTTACCAACTTTATAAGAATTCAATAATTATCTAAATGGAAAAAGCTACAAAAATGCATAAGAAAATGATATCGATTTTACATAATTTGAACCATATATAGTATAGCATAAATCTGATAGGTAATAAGATTAAATTAATTAATAGAAATAAATTATATTGTAATTTAACTAGATAGAATATAAGTAAAAAGAAATCAGTTGTTTTAAAACATGTTAATGGAAAGAGATACAAATATTATTTATCCAGTAAAATATTATTATCTAATATTATTTAGAATATTTAGAGGAATAAGCCAAAGAGGAATAAGAGAACTAAGAAAGCAATTAAGAAGATGAAGTATAAAATGAATTAGAGGAGCTGAATAATTTAATAAACGAAGAAGAAGAAATTTAACCTAAGAAATAAAAAAGTGGAATTTTAAAAGGAGGAAAAAAAATTAATAAGAAAAAAGTTAAACCATAATCAGAAGAATAAATAGAAATTGAAAAGACAATTTAAAACAAATAGACATAATAATAAGATGGAAAATAAATGAAAAAGTTAAAAAACAAACATTAAAAAGAATAAAAAGAATGAACAAACAATGACTTTATTATGTATAATATCAATGTAATCTAAATAATAAATATTAATAAATCAAGATAACAATTCTTCTTTACTTTATTTTCTTTTTATTTTACTTTATTTGTAGATTTATCAATTTATTAGTAGTATAAATAATCTAAAGTAGAATTGTAATTAATCCATTTTATTGTATATTCTAATAATTAATGTATTAGATATATTGGTAATTTTAATGGCTTTGTTAATTGCTGCAATATTTAGAAAAAGTATTTTTTCATAATATATGTTTTCTTCCAATTTGAATTTTGTAATATATTTCTTGGTATCATTATAAAGCAATTTTGTCTATCTCTTAGAAGTTTCAACTAATTTTATTTTACTTATTTAAAATATGAAAATCTTCCAATTAATGAAGGTAATTCTTAAAATTTATTATATTTTACGACTATTAATATTTAATACTTATAATTAAAATGATTAATAATCATACTAATATTATTAAAGCAATTAATTATATATAATACTGCTCTAAAGAATAGGAATATTCTGATTTAATGATTTTACTGAGTACTTTTTAAATTGAAGCTTAAGTCATTATTCTTGGTTATTTACAAATACTCTAAGCACATCTATAAATGATTCAAAAATTAAAAAATTAAATGTTTAAATATGTGAATTGAAAACAGAAAACAATTAATAATAGGAGAAACTATTGAGATTACTAAAAAATAAGATATAAAATGAAATAAAATTATCAATAAAATAAGAAACAAGATATAATATAATTAACTAAGCAAGAATTAATTTATAATAACAAGATATAAAGTAATTATATTGAAATAAATTTATCTATTATTTATATAATAAATGAATAGATCAATATATATGTATATATATATATATATATAAAAATAACATTACATAAATTTGTAAATAGTTAATTATAAAAAATGAATAGATTCTGTGATTATAAATCTTGTTAATACTTCAATAAATAACCTTCAATAGAATAAAGATCTAAATTGAATAAAGTGATGTGTCCATTATGTATGAATGCCAACTATTGCAGTAATAGATGTAGAGATTTAGATTGGTAAATTATATAATATAATAAATAAGGCCAATATATCATAAAGAGATATGTAAAAAATCTCAGCCAGATAGAGCAAGATCATGTAATGATACAATAGATTCATGTTCAACAACTAGTGTGAGAAGAAAAGCAGAAGAATTTGAAATAATCTCGATAGGAAGTAAATTAGAATTAGGTAGAGGATCGTATGGATCAGTTAAATTAGTTAAGGATAAATAAAATGGATTATTGTATGCTATGAAAATTGTATTATTTATATATAGATATATTTGTAGATGAATAAAAGATAAGTTTTTGAATATTGTTCAGTAGAAAACTTAAAAAGAGAAATTAAAATACAAAGAAGATTAGTACATCCACATATATGCAAATTACATCATTATTTTGAAGATAAAGAAAATGTTTATTTAATACTTGAATATGCATGTATAATTACTTTTATTCAATAGAAAATGGATCATTGTTTAATTATATTAAAAAACGATCTAAATTACCTGAAAATGAAGCTTTTGTTTATTTTTTTTAAACTTGTTTAGGAATTGATTATTTACATAAAAATAAGATAATTCATAGAGATCTTAAACCTGAAAATCTACTTTTAGATCATGAAGGTAATATAAAGATTTGTGATTTTGGTTGGAGTGCTGAAAGTTTAACAGAAAAAAGAATGACTTTTTGTGGTACTTATGAATATATGGTATTATATATAATAATTATAATTAATAGGCACCTGAAATGTTAAATAAATAACCACATGATTTTAGTTTAGATGTATGGAGTTTAGGAATATTATTATATGAATTATTACATGGAAATGCACCATATAGAGGAAAGAATAATGAAGAATTAGGAAATAAAATTAAATCTGGATAACCTATCAATTTTGCACTTACATTATCTAATGATGTTGTTTCTCTAATTAAATCTATTTTAAAATATATTCCAGGAGAACGATTAACTATGAATTAAATATTTGAACATCCTTGGATGGTTAAACATGCTTCTAATTATAATATTGAAATTTAGACATATGTTTATAAAACACAAAATCCAACAAGACAAATTCCAACTGCTAATTTTTAATCAAAATAAAAATCTATTGATATTCAAAAAAAAGAACCATTATCAAGACCAATATCTTAAGATTAAAATAAACTAAAAGAATAATCTAATAATTATAAACCATATTAAAATGATTATAAATAGGAGGAATTTAATAAACCAAGAATAAGTAGAATATCTAATAGAAATGAAATTATGATGCATTAACATTAATTATAATAATAATAATAAGAAGAAAAATTAAGTTTTATGGATAGAGTATTTCTAGCATTCGGTTGTTTGAATAGAGAAAAAAAATGATATATTTATTTATTTTAATACTTTATGTTATTTTTTAATTAATATAATTTAGATTAACTAGAAAAAATAAACAAAGAAAATAGTTCTATGGTTTATTTATTATTCTATTGTTTATAATCAACAAATTTAGTATAGATACTATATATTTTCAATTTTTGTGTCTATATATATAAATAAATAATTTCTTGAATTCCCTTTAAGAGTTTTAATAAATTCAACTGAGAAGTCTTCAAAATATTGATCTATCTTAAATTAATAACTTAACAAATCCAGAAAATCTATATGTTTATGACATATATTCAAATAATTATAAACCAAGCAGTAAATAAATCTGATATCTTTTACTTACAAAAATGAAATAAGAAAAATACATGAAATTTTATAATTAAAATAGTTCAATATCATCATTACATAATTTCATATTTAGTCTTAGATTTGCTATAATTTTCTAAATTTATATCTTAATTGAAGAAAATGAATTAATAAATAACGAAACATACTCAATTATAAAATTACAAATTGAAGTAATAAAATATTCAATTGAAAAATATCATTAATTATTCATTAATAAACAATTGTTAAGTTTAGGCTTAAAATAATAATTGAATATGACTTTTTTATAGAATAATTACTATAAATGATTATAAATGTATTATTTAATATAGTAATAATTAATATCTTTACTACAGGTTTCTTATTTTGTAATGAAAGAATGCTCAAATAAATAGCAATAAATAATAAATATATTTGGAAATTAGATTTTTAGAGAAGAGAGAACAATGAAAATTTGATAGAATTAATTAATTTTGTTATAAATCTAATGAATTTAGAATAATTATTTAGTTGTATTGTAATTATAGGTGGATATGTATAGGGAATATTATAATAAATAAAATGTAAATTAAATAAAATGTAATTCAAAGTTTGATTATGTAAAATAATGCAATAGAATACTTGATATAATATGAATCTTTGCAGTTGATAGGTATATTTTGAATATAATAAAGGTGATTAATCATATGGATTATTAAATGATTAATAATATAATTAGAAGAAAACCTAAATAAGTTTATTGAAAGATTAATAATATATTGATGCAGAATAATTAAAAAAGTTAGAAGAACACAATGAAGATTAATTGAATTAGTAGAGAAAATGGATTATTTTATTGGTATTTTAAATAATCAGGCCTGAAGAACCTAAAAAGATAATATGGGATTTGATAGGAATGTCATTTATATTTATTCAAATGATAACAATTCCACTAATATTGACTTTTAGTCTAGAAATATCAGGTGGTTTTGCTATTTTTAATGATATAATGGACTACTACTTCTTAATTGATATATTTTTGTAATTTTAAACTGGTTATTATAAAAAGTACTTATGAGGAAATATATTTGTTAGGGGTAACTTTGTTAGTTAAAGAAAGTAGATCGCATTAAATTATTTGAAATTATGGTTTTGGTTAGACTTAATATCATCGTTTCCATATGATGATGTCATTTCTTCATTTATTGATGAATAAAATTCATAATCATTTAAGAGGAATACATAGATTATAAAAATAATGAGAATTGTAAGATTCATAAAAGTAATAAGATTAATGAGAGCTTTAAAATTAAAGAAAATAATAAATTAAATAGAAGATTCATTATTTTTAGATAAAACAATTATTTCAATTATATCTTTTTTTAAGATATGTTTAATAATTTTAAGTTTATCACATTGGTTAGCTTGCATTTGGAATGGTATTAGATTTATAGAAGAAACAGATAATAATTGGTACACTCAATATGTTATCAATTTTGATTAAGAATTAGATAATGATCCAGATAATTGGTTTAATTAATATGTGGCAGGAATATATTTTAGGTATATTTGATTTTATAGAAGAAATAAAGCATAACAACTATGATTACTATAGGATATGGAGATATTTCACCTAAAAATACAATAGAAAGATCATTTGGAATTTTTGTTATGATTTTAGCTTCTGGTGTATTTGGTTATGTAATGAATTCTATTGTATTATTGTTTTAAAATATGAATGAATCATTGGAAGATTTATTAAATAAGAATATTGCTGCAATCAAGTAAATTAAATTAAATGAAGTAGATATATGAAATAAAAAGAAGTTAATAAAAAACTATAATCAAGAATCAAAAATTATTTAGAATGGTTAATTGAAGATGAACAATTATAAAAGAGTTATGCTCATAATACTCTTGAAAAATTATCATTGCCATTAAAAAATTAATTAACTTAAATTGTACATGGAAAAATGATGAATTAAATTAAATTTTTAAGAAAGAATTTTTCATAAATTTTATTAAAAAAATTAGCATTTACATTTTAAGAAGAAAGTATAAATATTATAAATAATAAATTTAGTTTACAATCCTGAAGATTGGATAATAAATTTAAATGATTAAATTAATGATGAAACATCTATATATTTTATATTAAATGGAAGAGTATCTGTATGCATTCCTAAATCAAAAGGAATTATTGAATTAATGGAATTAAGTAAAAAATAGTATTTTGGTGAAATATCATTTTTTGGTAATGTTCCTAGATGTGCATCTGTAAAAGCTAGAAATTTTATTAATTTATTTAGATTATCAAGAAAATCATTTTTAGAATAATGTGAAATTGAAGATATTGAATAATTTTTTTAATTGAAATTTAAAATTGAATTTGAGTAGGATTATGAAGATTTAAATTTATTTTGTTATGTTTGTTAAGCTCCAAATCATACTTCAAAGAATTGTCCTAATGTACATTATGTTATAAATAAATATGATAGAATCAATATCATTGAAAAATATAATGAAGAAATTAAATTATTAATAAATGAAAAAAGAAGATTGCGAAAGAAATGTCATTCTTTAAAATATTTAAATAATAAAAGAAATTAATAGGTAATCTAATAAATTACTGAAGAGAAATATCATATTGAAAAATATGTTAATTTTCATTACTCTAATCCAAGAGTTTTAAGGATTAAAGATTCCTTTAGAACTGATTCAATTAAAGAATATACTAATTTTACACCTTCATCTAATTTAAATTCAATAGCTAGATTATAAAATTATAATGCAGAATTATATGCTGAAAATGTGAGATAATAAAAAGAGTAATAAAAGAAAAACAAATTGAAAAGTAAATTTGTTTAATTTTTACAAAATAAAAAAGAATAAAGATAATCAGTAGGAAATAAATCTAATAATTTTTCAAAATTAGTAATGAATTTAACTAAATTAAAAAAAGAATAAGATTAGTAATAATAAAATTTAGAATAAGAAAACAATTAAGTATCTTAATCTAGATTATCATCCCCTTCCACATTTAAACCTAAATTATTAAGGGCTCCAACAATGGCAGTAAGAAAATTTAATCCAGACAAAAAAAATACAAGATTATAAAGATTACCTAGAAAAACTTATTTAGGATTAATTTGTGGATTAGACAAATGCAATTAATAATTTATAGATTTTGTAATGGAAGATAATATTGAATGTTAAGCTTAACCTTTAAAATAATTGATTGTTACTAAATTATAGAAAAAAAATATAATCTTATAGAAAACCAATGAATCCACTAGAGATGAATCTGTATCATTTCCAGATGTTTAATTTAATTAATTAATAAAAAGAAGTTCATCTTCTGATGAATTAAATGTAAAATCCTCTGCTGATTTAGAAAAATATTCTAAATAATTTCTCGAAGATATGATATATATGGTAACTAATTACAAATTGTAAAATTGTAAATGACTAAAAATAAATATATGTATCAAGTTTTTTTTACTTATTTGACTTTCATTTAGGCAACATGCAAAGTAACTGATTTTTTGTTCATATTATCTTAAACTCTAGATTTTGGTCGAGAGTAAAGGGTTGTTAATTCTTAAATTTTCTCAAGAGATGAATACTATTTCTCATCTATAGATTATTTAGAACTAAAAATAATTGATGGAAATATTTACTAAGTTTAACAATCTTAATATTCTGTAATTAATCTATTTTTTCTAGTATTCATTTTAACAGAAATAGATTATTTTTATTAATTGAGATTTGTAAAATTGTTGTGTAATGTATTCGATCTAGATTTTACATCAAATTGAATAGTTTATTTCTATTAATCCTATAAAATTTTATCTATAATGGATTAAGTTTTTTGTTATAGTTACTAATTTTTTGAATATTTAATATCTTCGAGATCTTTCTTTAATAATTCAATCTCTTTTTGATAAGTCTAAAGAATATGTTAAGAGTGATACAGTTATTTAAATTTTATAATCTTTCTCTAAATTTAATTATTATTCATAGAGCTCTTGTATATTTTCACAATGAATTTTTAATCTTTATTCTGTCTAAAGTAATTTTAGATTTTAATACCCTTATATGAGATCGACATTCTGCTTCAGACTTTTATAACTATTCTTCTAACTATGCGTATTGAGTATTAATTTCTTGTAATATTCTAGAATAGAAATTAAATAAGAAATACCCAAATAGTTCTTCAATTACAGATATAATAATTTAAATTCCTGTTAAAGCAGTTTTTGGTTATGGAATTATTTTTGTTTATGTTGATTGTCGTAATTTTTGCAAATTATTTGTAAGTTTAGGAAAGTAAGTAGTAATCTATGGAAATATGTAAAACAGATTACTTCTTATTATATCTGGTCTATTAAGTTCATAAATGAAAATAATATTTATTATTGTTATTATTATTGTAAATATCAATTTCCAATAAATTTAGTTTATTCTCTTGGGGGTTTGTCATTTCTTTAATGTTTCAAAGCAGGATGTGGTTATCTCAACAATTCAAAAGTACTTTCATCTTGAGTTTATTCCCAAGGTTTAAAGTATCTATAGAAATATGTCAATACTATACTTCATTTAATCAACTAAATCAACTTCCTTAACAAGTTGCTAAATGAGGAATTCGATTTGTTCAAATCCAAATTCCTCTTCAAGTTGTCTGATATCTTCAATTTCATCTGTAATACGCATTATGTACTTTAATTTTTCCTCAGTGTAAATTCTGTATAGAACTCCTTCAGGGATTTCTGTCTTTAATTTATCAAGTATTGTGTAGCATAATTTCATAATCTTTGCTCTTGGCATAGGTTCAACATCAAGGAAACTGTATCCAGTGGTTAATTTTATTTTAGATGAGGGTACCTCGTACTTCTTGGCATCATAAGGTCTTAAATAAACAGGAATAGGATTTGTTTAAGTAGCTGATGTTTGAGTACCAGAAGCAACATTGGAAGATCCAAGTTTAGTTGAAAATCTGAATCGTGGCATCCATCTAAAGAGTGTTCGAATCATTTATATTTAATAAATAATAATTAATGAGTGTTCATAGGAAAATTTTAGAAAAGAGCGGAAGATTAGAATCATTGTAATAATAATAATAATAATAAATACCTAATGTGTAATGTTAGGAGATTGATTAATAAAAATGGTTAGAAAAATAAGATGAAGAAGTTGTTAAAAATATAGAGGAATATCAGCAATACAATTCTATAAATAATATAAGAAGCACCTGCAGAGTATTTCCTAGAACAAAAGAAATGTATATGGAGGCAAAGATTCCATTTGCTGTGATAATATAACCTTATGGATAATCTATTAAATAAGGATTTCCTTGTGTGAACTATGGGAGTAATCCAATAATGAGATGTTAGAATTGTAGAGCATACATTAATCCATTTATGGAACGAATGAAAGATGAAGAATATTTGAGATGTAATATATGTACTTGTATGATAAAAATACCGAAAAACTTCTTATAACCTGAAGATTTAGATAAAAGAGCTGATTTGTGTACAGGATCATATGATATAAAGGCAGGCCAAGAATATTAAATGAGACCACCAATGGCTCCTGCATATTTTTTTATGATTGACGTGTCAAGTAAAAGTGAAGGGATTTTGGGTATTATGGGATAGATAATTAAGGATATGATTGTAGAAGATAAATTTAATGAAAGAACATTATTTGGTTTTATTACATATGATACTAACATACATTTATACAATTTTAATAGTAAACTTAAATAAGTATAAATGTATGTATTGACAGATGATAATGATATGCCAACACCTGGAGATTATTTATTTAATTTATAAGAATCTAAAGATATTATTGTTGCATTTTTAAATCAATTAAGTGTTCTATTTCCTAAACCAAAAGAAAAGAGTACTTAATTCATAGCAGCATTGAATTTAACCTAAAAGATAATGTAAGATAATGGAGGTAAATTAATAATATTAACATCTTATCCAATAAAAGAATTAAATATTACTGAAAATTAAAAAAGTCCATTAAATCACTTTTAACCAACTAACAATATTTTAAAATAAATTTGTGAAAAGATGCATTTAAATTATATTTGTCCATCCATTTTTATTGTACCAGCAGGATTTAATAATGTTGGTACTTTAAATCAATTAGTAAAATATTTAAATGGAGATATGTTTTATTATGATGATTTAACTATTTGTAGTATAAAATTCATAATAATATTAAGCACAAAGATTTTATTATGATTTTCTTGGAGTTTTAGGAAAAGATTACACATGGGAATCAGTATTTAGAATTCGACTATCTATTGGATGGAAAATAAAATGTATATATGGAAATTATACAGTAAAAAATGCAGATTTGTTAAATGTTACATGTACTGAAGAGTAATAAGTGTATATTATTATTGTTTAGTCAAAAGGTATTAATGTATGAATTGGAATTGAATCAACCTAGAGCCCCATACGATAATTTATATATTTAAACAGCATTATTATATACATCAAATAATGGAGAGAGAAGAATACGGGTTCATAATATTTGTATTCCAATTACGAATTCTATAAAGACAATCTATTCTTAAATTGATTAACCATGTTTAGCTATTTCATTGTATAAGATTGCTTTATCTCAATTAAATATTGCTAAAGATGTTAAAGATTGTATTTAAACTAAAGACTTTTTGATTGCTGCAACAAGATCAATATCTAATAATTGTAAATTATTCAAAGAACCATTGGATTCCTTACATTCTTATATGTTAGGAATAATGAAATCTTAAATCCTTCATTATAACTTTGATCAATTATCTGTTTTAACTGATTATATAAATTACTAAAGATCAATATACTAATATTTGAATGTTGATGAATTAGTAACTTATATTGTACCTCAATTGTATAATATCTCGGATTTGAAAGAATAAGAGTGTATTTATGATGACAGTGGTTATTTCATTTATCCATAGTCTATTTCATTAGTTTTGGAAGAAGTTTCTAATGGAGGTTTACTTTTAATGGATTGTGGCAATTATTTAATTTTATTCATTTGCAAGTACTAAATGATCATCTATAAGTAGAATTCATGATGAAAATCAAATGGCTGACATATTTGGTAAACATTATCAGAACATGAATTTAGTAGAAGACAATCTTTATTCCAATTCCTAAAATCCAATAAATGATAAACTTTATTATCTTCTCAATGAATTAAGAAAGTATATATTCATTAATGTTAGTAATAAGTATACCAAATATGCACCATTGTATATAGTAAAACAAGGAAGTAAAACAAGATGGGAGGAACTTTTCTTTTAAAACTTAATTTATGATGATTTTAATAAGAATTATAGAATGGGATATAATCAATTTGTACAATATATTGGTTGACATTAATATATATATATATAATAACAATATACAATGAAGAAAAATAGATTCCAGCAATAAAAAGAGGAGTAAAAGAAACAAAATTATTTTGATGAAGAAGAAGATATTGATTTAGAAGATGATGGTCTTTTTGGTAAAGAAGTATTAATGGCATGTAAGCATTAATTAAATATTCTATAGCAAAACCTTATGAGGAATACTTCTAAAAGTTTAATTAATTGTACAACAATCATATTGTTAAATTTTCAGCATTTGAAGAGGATTATCAAATACCATTAACTTAACCTGATTATGAAAGCATTATTCAGAGTCATTTTATGGTCTATGAAAAAAATATGGGATTGTTTGATTTCATGAAATCAGATAACAAAGTTTTTGATAAGATTTGTGCATCATTCGTCTTTATTGATAATTAAATTAGATAGATTGAAGATTAAGTATATCAAAAATATTATTATTCTATAGTTTTATAAATTTCTTGATAAACTCACAATCTATGGAGAATTAGCAGATCTACACTTAGAAGAAGAAAGAAAACTAAGTGATGGTGAAGCTGAAATCATGATTTGTAGAATGTTAGGATAATTCAAGTAAATTTATGACATTATTAAAAAACTCATCAATTACATCACTCATCTAGTCAATCAATTGAATTTACTTTATAATAAAAAAGATCCTATCTCTAAAATTATCAAAATCTTTAATCTTAATTTTCCATTAGATACAATAGGAAGAGCATTGCAACTTATTTATGTCTTAGATAATGTTGTAGAATAGAATGATTATCTATAAGAACATTGGAATTTTTGTAAAAGAATGATTAAAATTGTTAAACCAGATCCTACTAAATTTAATTCAAATGCATAGAATGTCAAACAATTAGAAAAAATTATGATTAGATTAGATAAAACAGTATTATCAGGAAATTGTCTATAATCAGTTTTAGCTTAAAATTGGGATTAAAATGTACATGAAAAAACAGGTAAGGAAAAAAATGCAAATATACCTGCAATTAAAAATAATAAAGATTTCTTTAATTTATTAAATACATACCTTAAAGAAAGATATGAATTATTTGATAAAACTTTAGGAACAGCTAAAGAAATGTTTGAAAGAGATTTATTATTACCTACATTTTGTGTTTATGCATTAGTAAGATAATTATACCCAAATGATGAAAATAGAGATCTTTGGAAAAATCTTTGGTCTTTATAAAAAAAGATACCAATGGTAGATGGACATTCCTAAGTTTTATGCTATTTAAGTAAATTCTTAATGGAAGTAACTCCATTAACAAAAAAGAGTTAAACAATAGATCCTAAAGATCCAATTGCAAATTTTAAAAATTATTTATAAAAATTATCAGTTTCGTTTTAAAGTGCATTGACTGCATAATATGTTGCATTTACAACTTGGATTGTAAGAGTTGATTCATTTTCATGTAGTCAAGCATCTTTCAATAATATTGATAAGATAGATAGAGAAAGAGCATAAAGATTCATTGAAGATAGAATGAATTAGAGAGTAGTTTTAGTTTTATAAGGTTTAACTATAGCATCATAAACTAGAAATTTATTATAATCATTATTATTAGGAAATTTTGGATTAGAAGAATAATCATTAGATTTGGCATTATCAAAAGATGTAGTTTTGGCTGTAGAAATGTTAAAAGCAATTGAATATTATTTTGAATAAAAATATGATGTATTCTAACCTGCTTTGATTTAAAATCATATTACAAAAAATGGATAAAAAATTATTCAATAAGTATTAGAAAAGATGAAAGCTAATCTTAAAAGTTTTGGAACTGGAGGTGCTGAAATATTGGGAGCATTATAAATTTTGAATTCAATTCTTAAAAGTACACTCTCTCCATTAAAATTATAAACAATGTACTTTTTGATGGATTTTATGATAGCCAAAGATATTTTTACAAATTAAGAAAAAGAAGATTTTAGAAATATACTTTGGAAACTTGATAAATTAATTTTATTACCTTATTATGTTAAGAAGGTGACAGCAAGTACTTATTTTTATTGGTGTAGAGAATTATTACCTTCTTTCTTTCAATATTTATATCAACATCCTTCATAAGCTAAGAGATTCTAATTTCTATTGAATGCTGTTTCTGATTGTTCAATTTAATTAAAAGATTGTATGCATTTAGAAAATCCTGAAGAATTATTTGATTCTTTTAGATAATATGTTGTTAAGGAATTTTATGCTTAATATTTATAACCATTAGCAAGAGATATTGAAGATTATTTAAGAATTTAAGTTCACACAGTTTTGATTGAAAAAATTACAGCATTAAATCCATTTAAATAATAAGTTAAAGATTTAAAGAGATTATTAGATATAGATTATGTTTTAATTTTTGATTCTATTGTTAATTTAAGAACTGAAATAAATCAAATACTTAATGAAACATTCTATAATATAAATGTTCTAAATATGTATGACTAAGAAACTTATGAATAAATGAGAAGTCTAGCTAATTCTAAATTTGGTTTAAATTTGATTAATGTATATTTGCCTACTTAAACAGTTGATTAAGGAAACTTCGATGTGCTTATTGTTCTAAAGAATATCTAATAATTCTTTACTAAATACACTTATAATTTATATTAGCAATAATTTGTTTAAGTATTAATATTAGATTGAATATAATTAGGTTACATCTGAAAGTAAATAGGTTTATTCGATAAGTATTCAATAGATAGCTGATTCAATTAGAACACATGGAATTGGTATATTGAGCACAACAGTAAATAGTGTGTATAAATTCTTATAAAAGTAATTTAATTAAGAATATGAAATATTAGGAAAATTCAAATGTTTTCTCAATTCTTGTTTGATGATCTAATACAATCACCTTTAGTGAGAGAAGATAGATACTTTAGAGAGAAGAAAGATGAATTGGATGGTCAGTATCCATTTGAAAGAGCAGAGGCTTTATATAAAGAAATAAAGAAAATGGGTACATTTGATGATGGATCTAATTATATTGATAAATTTAGAACTTTAATAACTCAGATAGGAAATTCATTAGCATTTGTAAGATTATTAAGATCAGCTGCTTTGCATGTAAATTCAAAATGCTTAGAATATATTCCTAGTTAATATAATCTAACTTAATTGGAATCATTGACAAGAGAAGCTGGATTTAGTGGTAATAATATTATTATATTTTATAATAGATGCTACAGTAAGTACTTCAAAAGAATTAGAAGAGATATTTACATAATACAAATCAAGTTTTTCAGAGAAGATAGATTATTTAAAGTTATTATTAAAGGCATTTTCAAGTATCAACTCACCAGAAAATGAACATTTATCTCTATTTTATTTAATTGTTCCTACATTAACTTTAAATTTCATAGAAAAGGTGTTGATATCAAAAGATTAGATAGGAAAGAAGAATTCAACAACTGAAATGTTTATTAGTGTAAAAAGATAGACATATATAATTAGGATGATGGTTTTACTTTAGGAATTCAATTTTTTTTAACTTTATTGGATTAAAAAGCATAATTTGATTCACTACATTGGAGAAAAGAGATAAAGAGTAAATTCACTGTAGATATGAAATAGGCTAAAACTTTAGCAACAGCAAAACCAAATCAATCATAAAGAGCAACAGATGAAGTAAATAGAATAGTCATATAAATAGATTAACATGTAAAAAGAATTGTCATTACGTAAATTAAATATGCAATATGATGAATTCTAAATGTTCTTCTATGCATTCAATTCATGTAAAATCCTATTTCTTGGAGAATGATTAATCAAAATTTAAATAATATATATATAATGAATTAATCTTAATATGGAGCCTTTGGTATAAGTGGTAATAATTTCAATCAAACAGGTGGTAAGCCACCTGTAAATAATTACAATTTCGAGAATGTCAGAGTATATAACATTATTTATATTAATATATAGGCATAATAACCTGCACCAGGTGGACCATAACCATCTAGAGGAAAACCACTTGGAACAGCTGCTAGATAACCTTAAGCAGAAGCTAGACCTATGACATCAAATAGAGGAGCTAATTTTGGATAGAAAAAGGATCCATTCAATTCTACTCAAAATCAAATTAATTTGAATAAACCAAAACTTGAAACTAATCCCGAAGAATAATTTAAAACTATTGAAAAAGAGATTAATACTTTAATAGAATAAAGTGCTATGTCTAAATTAAGAGGTAATCTCTCTGAATGTTTGGAAAAAGCTAAAGAGGCATTCAATAAAGAAAAAAAATTAAGATAATCTAAAGAAGCATAAAATTTAGCAGAATCTATTAATACAGATCTTAGTTATTGTGCTGCCTTAACTTAAGCATGTGCATTACATGCTAATGGACTTCATTCTGATGCTTTAGCAAAATACTAAGAAATTATCAAGTGTAAACAATATCCTTAGGCTGGAAGATTAAGAGTCAATATGGGAAATATTTATTTTGAATAAAAAAAATATACTACTGCCATTAAAATGTATAAAATGGCATTAGATTTAATTCCTGCTACATCAAAAGAAATGAGATTCAAAATATAAAAAAATATTGGACATGCTTAAGTAAGATTAGGAAAAGAAAAAATCAAAGAGGCTATTACTACTTATGAATAAATTCTTAAAAACTCTCCTGATTTCCCTACTGGTTTTAATCTTATGATTTGTTTATATTTGAGTGGAAATAAGAATAAAATGAAAGATTATTTTGTTACTCTATTGACTATTGAAATACCAGGAGAAAGTGAAGAAGAAAATAATGAAAATAAGGGTACGACCATTACTGATAAATTAAGAGAAGATACTAAAGAAAGAAGAAGAGAAGCTATATATTATATTGTAACTTCTGCTAAATTAATTGCTCCCTTGATAGAAGAAGATATTATTGTAGGATACGAATGGATTCTAGAATAACTCAAAAATTCAACTTTTCCTGAAGCTGAAACTGAAATTGAAATATGTAAAGCTATGGCTTATTTAAAAAAAAAGAATATTGAAAAATCTATTGAAACACTCAAAGGATTTGAAAAAAAAGATAAATAAATTATGGCTCGTATTGCTACAAATATTTCATTTCTGTATTTCTTAGAAAATGATTGTAAATAAGCTGAAAAATATGCTGAAATTGCTATAACATATGATAGATACAATGCTAAAGCTTTAGTAAATAGAGGAAATTGTTTATATGTCAAAAATGAATTCTTGAGAGCTAAAGAATAATATTTAGAAGCAATAGGTGTGGAAGCAGATTGCATTGAAGCTCTCTATAATTTAGCCTATGTAAATAGAAAATTAAATATGTTTGTTGAATCATTATAAGCATTAGATAAGTTATAAACAATTGTTTGTATTCCAGAAGTGTTGTATTAAATGGCAACATTATATGAAATGACAGGAAATTCAAAATAAGCTATGAAATGGTATTTAGAATTATTGAACAAAGTTCCAAATGATCCTAACATTCTAGCAAGATTAGGATCTTTATTTGCTAGAGTAAATATTATATGAATATTTAAATAGGAAGATGATGAACCATAAGCATTGCATTATTTTTAGGAATCATATAGAATATTACCAACAAATATTGATACAATATCATGGTTAGGAGTTTATTATGTTAAATAAGAAATGTATGAGAAATCAAGCATGTATTTTGAGAGAGCAGCATAAGTATAGACAAGAGATGTGAAATGGAAATTGATGGTAGCTAGTTGTTATAGAAGAATGGGACATTTTTAAAAGGCATTAGGAAATTATTAAAAAATATATTCTGATTATCCAGATAATATTGAATGTATAAATAAATGAGTATTACTTTAGGTCTTCGATTTTTAGTCTAATTATGTAGAGAAATGGGATTACCATATGAAGAATATGCGGGACAATTAAGAAAATTAGAAAGAGAAATGGAAATGATGGAAGGTTATCAAGGTCAAGATATTAATTTGATTAATAATGAAGAGGAATAGGTTAGATTACCATAAGGAGATGATAACCCCGTTAGTTTCACCAATAATACAAGGTATTTTATTAATAACTTATAATTATTAGGAGAGGTAATAAGTAACCACCTCCTAAGACTAACATGAGATAAAATATAGATGATGAACAATTCTAAGATGGGGTAGAGGATAACTTTTTACCTTGATATATAATATTTAAATATGTTGAATAAATATATATTTCTATTTAGACTTAAAAAGTCAACAATTATCAGGCCTTATATATTCAGGTGGAATACTTGGGCATCTCTCATTCATATTTTCATATGGTTCAACTGTATTATATCCTTCTAATTCAATTCTATGAGATCCCATCAATTAACAATAAGGAAGATCTGGATCATTCTACTTGCATTTATTTGGAACAATATAATTTTAATCAAAGAATTTCAATTGATAAATATCTTTAGGTGTAAACCTATCATAAATTATGATTATTACTCAAGTGCTTCAATATGGAATGGTTTGAATAAACCAGCTGCTTTATACATAGCAGTAACAAATGCAGCACATGCTTAACTTGGACCATCACTATATATCCATTCATCTCTTTCTACAATTGCATATAAATCTCCCTATCAATATTTATTTAATTCATACCAATTCTATTCCTCTTTTTGCAGCTTCTATTGCTATTTCTGATACTGATAAACCTTCTGTACCTAATCTTTTATTTAAAGCTTCTCCTACTAATGAAGTTATTGGTCCTGGTGCTATCTTTTCTATAAAAGAGAATAAATAAGTAGCAAACTCTGCACTCAAAGGTTTTGGATAATTATCTGTTGGTGTATCAATCCAACCAAATAAAAAAGTATGATATCCATATGGTTAACCTTCCATCTTTTTCCAATATTCTAAAGCTGCTTCTTAATCCCATTATGCTCTTTTTTCTGGACTCAAAGGTAAAACAGCAACATTAAATCCAGCATTCTTAGCATATACTTTCCAATCTTCCCATTTTGTCTTTTAAATTCTTTTAGTAGGCCAATACCATGCATCTTATGATTCAATTACATATTTTTCGCCATCTATTTCAAATATCATTGCACTATGACCTATTCTACCTCCTGTTCCCCATTCAATAATTTAATCTAATCCATCAAATCTAGTAATTGCTAAAAAATCTCCATTGTTTACTTCATCAACTTTCAAATCAACAACAACATTTGGTCTTTCTTACCATCTAAAACCTGTTGTTCTCTCTATAAATTCTATATTTGATCTTACCATCCAATCAGGTGGATGACTAAAATATATTTAACAATCTACCTTCCAAATATTGGACCTAAATAAGGATTACTTGAAAAACCACCAAAAAATAATTCTAATGTCATCAATAAATCACCAAACCAATTCTCCAAATAATCACATGTTCTAAATATATATGCACCTGTATATTTAAATGCTTCAACTTATTTCTCATTTCTAAAATTAAAATAGACTCTATGTTCCTTCTCTAAATAAAATTAATTTTAATAATTTTACAATCTTTAATGTTGACGATATTATAATTCAAAGTTGTACCTATCAAATAAAATTCAGAACATTATTAACTATTTTTATATTTTCCAGGAGTAAAGGTAACTTAAACACGACTAAAATATAATAATATATAATAAGAATAACTTCTTTGCTTCATTCGTTTCATATGAAACCCTCATTGATTCATAACAATCATCCTCATACTTGATTAATTTAATATTATTTTATCCACCATTTCCTATTCTTCCAGCATTTTGAAAAAACATTCCAAAGAATTCATGATGATCAGTTTTCCTACAACCTATAACTTATGTCTCATCTACATATAATTTATTATCAATTACTTAATCTCATAAAGGTATTCATCATTTATTCATATTTTAATTTAGGGTCTTCTCCATCATACATTGTTATCTCCGTAATTACTTCATTTTCGAATTCTTCTTCAATGTGAGTACCATGTAATCTATCATATACTGTTTTCTTTCCAAAACAACAAATTAAAAGACAAGCAAAAATAAGACTATATTTCGTCATTAAAATTTAGAATTAATATGATTAATTAGGATATTTCTAAGTATTTTTCAATTTATTTGAAATTAAATCACTTTATACTTAATATGCAGGAATTGACTATTATTATAGCTATTGTTTCAACAACTTTTGGTGTATTTTCGATAAGTGGCATAGGAGCGTATTTAAGCTATAAAAAAATTATCAATAAATAACTAACAAGTTAGCTTTCTAATTTGACTGAGAATTTATTTATTCCAGCATTAATATTTACTAACTTTCTAAAGAGTTTGACTTTAGAAACTCTTTATATGTATATTCCATGTATTGTGATCACGCTTTTATGTTTATTTCTAGGATATTTAGTAGGAATATTGAGTAACAAATTTTGGATAAAACAAAACTCTCTGAATTCTGTAATACTTTTAGCATCTTCTAATCCACATACTACAAATTTATAATTGCAACTTTGTTATGGTCTTAGTAAATGGTTTGCATAGATGACTGGATAACCAGAAAAACTAATTGAGGCAAAACTAATCACAACAGTGATAATCTAAACTGTATTAGTCACTGCAATTAGATGGACAATAGGACGCAGTATTTTAGAATAACAAGAAAATACTCAAACAGAATTAGAAATGACGAGTTTATCACTTCCTTAATAAAATTAATTGACTTAACCTTTGTCATCCTATTAAGAATCAAAAAGTTAAAATGATGAGAAAAAAAAGTCATTCTGGAATCCTCCTTTATGTGCTACTTTGGTTTCAATTGCATTTATTTGCATTCCAATAATGTAAACCTGTTTACTTAACAACAATATAATATATAATACAATTTTTGTGCCAATTTAAACAATATCAAAGGCGACTTCACCTATTGTTTTAATAATTCTTGGAAGTAGTCTATATCAGATTTATTTTGAAAATTCAGAGAGACTGGAAAAATATTAAACAATATTATATATAGTATTCAATCGGTTACTATTGATGCCTATCCTTGGTCTCTGTGTTATCATAATAGTACACACCCAGAACATAATTGAAGATAAGTGTTAATTGTTTATGTTATTTGTAACATTTTGCACTCCATCATCCATAAATATACTATTGTTGGCAAGACAATATCTGTAAGAAGCAGAGTAGATAGTAGCAGTTATTTTGTTAAATAGTTACCTTTTATCTATTTTCACATTACCTCTTTGGATGATAACCTATTTAATCATGTTTAAAATATGAGTATAATAATGTTTAAATATTTAAAATATATAGTTTAATTATATATCAATGAAATGAGAATTATATTATTAAAAAATAAGAGATCTAAATTTTACACTTACAATTTATTCTTGAAGTAAATATTCTTAATTTAAATCAAAAAGTTTATTATTTTTGGATTACTTCATAAATATTCTTTAAAAACTAAATTATTCTAATTATATTCTGATGTAATATTTTATTTCCCAATATTCCTTTGAATTGGTAACATACCTTTCTACTTGCATAAAATTATATAAATGGGGTTATTATTAGAAATATAATTATTTTTATTAAATTTAGTATATGGTTATTATAAATATTATTAGAGCAGTTGTTTCAGCAACCTTTGGGGTTTTAGCTATAGCTGGTAGTGGTGCTTTATTAACTCATAAAAAGGTCATAGACAAATAATTCACAACAACTTTATCTAGTCTTGTTGAGAGACTATTTCTACCATCCTTAATTTTTACAAATTTTCTGAAAGCAGTCACAATTGGATCTGTTATATCATTAATACCAAGTATAATAACAACATTTTGTTGCTTATTCTTTGGTTACTGCATAGGAATTTTCAGTAACAAATATTGGATTAAAGAAAAAAAACTAAAATCTATTGTCATTTTATCATCTGCAAATCCTCACACAACAAATATTCAATTACAACTTTCATATGGTTTAACCAATTATCTAGCAATAATGACTAATTAACCAGATAAATAAATCGAAGCAAAATTAGTTACCATTATAATTATATAAACTGTAATAGTTAATGCTTTAAGATGGTCAATAGGCAAAAAAATATTAGAATAACATGAAACTGATTAAAATTAAGGTGAAATTGAACTTTCTGATTTAAGAATAGCTTTACCAGAATAATAAGAATAATATAAATAAATTCAATCAAAACATGAAAAATCCTTTTGGAATGTACCCTTAGTTTCAGTTCTAGCTTCATTATGTTGTTTAGTAATTTATCCTATTCAAGATGAATTGATAAATGATACATTTTTACATAGTGCAATCTTTCTACCTTTATAAACAATTTCAAAAGCAACCACTCCCTCTGTCTTAATGATTCTTGGAAGTAATTTATATTTAATCTATTTTAATAATACATCCAATTAAGAAAAGATATCCACAATTCTTTTAATTGTATCAAATAGATTATTAATTTTACCTATTCTTGGATTAATTACTATTATGTTATTAGATTAATTATCCATTATGACTGATATTTGTCAACTATTTATACTTTTTATAACATTTTGCACACCATCTGCAATTAATATTTTAGTCATGGCCAAATAATACTAACAAAAGGCTGAAGATGTTGTTTCATTAATCCTTTTATATGGATATCTATTATGCATTTTTACTTTACCTATTTGGATGACAATTTATTTAGCAATTTTCCAAAAAATTTGAAATTTATAGGTTTTTACATATTTTAATATTTTATTTATATAAATAATTACATTTATAATATCACTTTAATGTTTTGATACCTTATTTTTTTAGTTTCTTTACAATTTAAAGATGTTAAGAAATTACACCTAATTAAAAACTATAATTTCAGAAAGATAAGATTAACATTTTAAATCAAACAATAACATAAAATATCATCATATAAATTCCAAAAATCTCAAGTTCTAATTTGACGAGACTTGCAACAAATTTTTTGCATTTTAAAATAGATAATCAACACATATTATTATTATTTGGCTTAAAAGTAAAAATTTATTAGTTGAGAATAGATATCATAATTTATATTGATTAGGAAAAGATTCTAGAATTGCCCTGCACAAAAACTGAACAAAAAAGTAATTTTAAAAAATGGTGACTCTAAATGAATCTTAAATTTATTTTCCTAATAAATTTTAGTATACCATTTAATATAATCAAAAAGATTAGATACATAAATTTAACACTATAATTTGGAGAGCACTTGATATTAAGCCAAATCATAGAAAGACTCTAAATTATAAAATTAAGAAAATATTTTAGATTTTAGTTTTTAGTTTAATATTTGTTGTTTACTTCGTTAATATAATGAAGCTTTTATTTGATGAAAAGAAAGCTAAAATGTAAGATTCTAATTATGTTAAAATTTGATGCTAAAAAGGTATTTCTAAAAGGCTATTTAAAGCTAATAAATAAAAATCGGTAGTTTATTAAGAAGCACTAGATTCAATGAAAAAACTTTGATTATGGAACCAAATCATATAAACAAATTAGATTGCAAATTTATCAATTAAAATTCTTTATTTAATGCCTTGTATAAAAAATTTATTCTAATTATATTTTTTATTAGCTAGGAAAATTTTAAGATTTAATTATCAAAGGTAATATTAAAATATTAATTAGCAAATACTTTTAATAAACTTTGATTTTTTGAGGAGGTCTTAGTTTTCAAGATAATATTTTATTGTTTTACAAAAATGAAAAAACTTTTTGGATTTTGCTAAATAATAGTAAAGAGTCCTTCTAGTTCTTTTAAGAACTTAAATATTTTGTTTAAGAAATAAAACTTTTTAGAAACAATAATTAGATTTAATTAAAAAAAAAGAAGATATATATACTTGATTTTTATCACCACCATAAAAGTAGTAATCTAATTATAATATCCAGAATAAACTTTAAAATGATCTACTTTACCATATCCTAATTTAATAGAAGAATTATATATATGGGATTGGACAAATGCCAATAATTTTTCCTGTTCAAATATAATTCCAATTTCTTTAAAATAGATCTCTTAATTGATCTAGTAATTTAAGTAATTTAATACTCAAACTATTATATATTCATCACTAACTTTCATTTGTATAAGATTAATATTTTTGAATGTATCTAATAGGAATTATGAATTTTTAACAATTAAAGTATTTTTACCATTATTTTAAAATTGAGATTATCATCTGAATCAAAAATTAGAATAATTTAATCAAATAACAACCATATATATTGAATTTTTAAAAATTTAAGCTATTAATCTAGCATTATTAATTTATCACCCACCTTGCTTTTTATTATACATTATGTTTATTAATTTCTTGATATGAATTAATTTTACTCTAATTTAATTAAAAATAAAAAAGATATGTTTGTTTGTACATAAATGATCAAATTCAATTGTAAGATTTTGCACAAATCCTTATTGTAAGGAAAAATCATAGTTTTATGTCTAATGTTTACTTGATCTTTAAAAACATTGTTAATGTAGGAATGATTTTAAAAAGATAGAAAAAACTGATATCTTAATTCATTTAATAATTCATGAAGAAAATGCAAAAATAAGTCTATCAAAAATTCAAACATATTAAATCCTATTTTGAAATTATAGTTAAAAATATTTATTAAGAAAAAATTAGATACTAAACATTGAATTAAAATCTAAAAGATCTAAGAATGAAAGACTTTTTGTGAAAGTATCATCTATCCAAAGAAATAGTATCCATAATTTAGTGCAGAGAAGTTTGAAAAAATGTTATAGAATTATGTAAAATAATTTATAATTAACTAAAGCTTGAAGTTGGTATGAATCTAATAAATTAATAATAGTTGGTTAAAGCTTTGGAAAAATATGATAAAATTTTGAATTAAGATCTTAATAAACATGAATATACAACTTTTTATTAAAGTTTTTTATTTAATATTAGGTTTGGGGTAATTAATAACTTACTTGAATGAAAAAATAAATGAATGTGAAAGTCATTTGAAATAATTCAAAGAAGCTATTATTTGTTCTGATAAAGCCATTTAAATTGATCCTAATTATGTCAATGCTTATAATGGCAAAGGTTTACTAATCATTTAATTATATAATAGGAAATGCTCTGCAATTATAAAATTGAAAAAATTTGTATTTCTAAATTAAAATAATATTATTTAAATGGATCGTTAAATTTTTCAATTATATAAACAAATGTATATTTTAATTTTAATAGGTTTATGTTTATAATCTTTTTATAAAATTTAAGAAGCATAATTAAATTTAGAAAAAGTCGTATCATTGAATCATCCTTTATCATGGATATTTTACAACATAAAATATTCTTAATACTTACCAATTCAAATGTATTAATAAATTTATATATAAGAATAGTTTCTTTTGATTTTTGATATGTTACAATTAATCAATTAAATACCAGATAATTAATTAGAGTGCATTAGATAACTTATTTCGGAAAGATTTCTATATCCTCTTCAGAAAAGTTTTTAAAAAAATAACTATATGATCAATGAGATTCATGATCTAATTCAATCAATGATAAAATTATCAAATGTTTAGTATTTATGATTCTAATGATAAGTAAAATGAGCGCTTTTATTGTAATTGCTTGGACATAAAATGTCGAAATTTTTCTAACATAGGAATCTTCAAGAAGAGATATTTTTAGCTATATATTTTTATATCATGAATTATTTGATGATTTTAATTATTTCAATTTTAACTTGATTCAGAAAATTGAATAAAATCATAGAGATTTATTAAATTTTATTATAAAAGTATACAATAGAATTTAAAAGCTGTTGCCTTTTATAATAATTTCTATTTAAATTGAATCATAAAAATTTAATTGAATTATTCTAATTATTTATTAATTACTTAGGAAAACAAAAGATTTAAATTTAATCTGTTACTAATTAATATGATAAATTTATAAATAAAAGGAAATCTTAGAAGCATTAAATTGGTTCTAATTCTATCATGATAAATACATAAATCTTGATTCTGATATCGATAAAAGATGATTTTTAAAGAAATTTTTAATCAAAACTACTTAAATGAACCTATTATCATATTTTATTTTTAAATTTTCATTGATTATTTATTTTAGAATTGATTCTATATTAAAGTAATTAATTTATATTTAGAAATTTTTATTTGACTTTCCCTAAAAAAGAGATTTTATAATTTGGATGCTGAATTGAATCTGAATAAGGGCTTCATTTATAAAATCTAAACTCTTACTTTAGTAATAAAAATTAAAATTTATAATTAACAATTTTTTCAAACTAAAAACATATAGAATGAGTTAAAGAATATCAACTAACTGAGAACAAAACTATTACAAGAAATTGGTTGATATTAATTACTTGTATTTCCTTATATAGATATATGAGAATATTTGAAGTCTTTTTATGATAGATTATGTAAATAAATATTCTTCTATACCTTTACTCCCTTAACCATCTCTTAGACTCGATATTTAATATACTCATTTGTTTTGTATAATTGGAAATTAATTTTTAATCAATTTTACATACTATGGTAGTCTATATGATTATTTCATTTATAATTACTACCTAGTTAAAACAAAGAATTTATTATCATAAAAAAAACAATTGAAGAATTTGGTTAAAAAAGAACAATAGAATTTACAATAACATTGGAATTGTAAATTGTAATGTGTTTATATATGATTTGATTAATTATCTTCAATTTCTATTCCTTATTTAATCTATAATGCAAATAAAAAAACTATCATTTAAATTTAAGATATTACTTATTACTTGTTAAATGCCCTTTCATGCTTCTTTTACTATATTACAAATTTAAATCTCTAGTTAAACTCTGTTTAAAAAATTATTTAGCCAAAATATACATAAATTAATTATAATAGTTGTGTTGATTTTTAATTTAGTATGTCTAATATGAAATTGTAATGAAGAATAGGCTTGTTTGTAATAGGTTTAAATAATAAACCAGATTTATTAAGAAAAAAAATTGATATGTAAATAGAAAATCTGAATTAATTTTTGAAGTTATTGAAGAAAGCAAATAGTGGTTAGAATAACATTTTATTAAAAACCTGAAAATATTAATGTAATATCAATATTTTTTGTACATTAATTAGTTTTGTCAATGGCACTTGAGATAATACATTTTACCTATATCCAATTAGATATTAAGATAGTTAATTACGATATATAAGCAAATACAATGGATTTGAATCTGAGAAAATAAAGTACTGATTATTAATGTACACTTTTTAGTATTTATTAAAATTTATATGCATTCATTAAATCCAACTTAAAATTGATAACAATTACATCCTCCTAATAATTAGCTATTCCAGCCTTAATAATTGAGATTTTTATTATTTGATTGCTCTATTTAAAATTATGTTGGGTTCTTGTTTTTTCTGTTCCTCAAATTCACAGAAAATTGAACTATTTGCTATCATATTGTTCCTTATAATATGTATAATTTTTTTATTTTTTTTATATTATTAGAGGATAATTGTTTAAATTCTTTTATGATATTAGAACGAGAAGTAATAAATAATATTCAATAGCTGTTTATCTAGCATTATTATTTGGTTTCTAATATCCTACTATCCCTTATGGAACTAAAGAAGAAGATTATCGTAAGTTTTTTGAAGTTCAACCAACTTAAAAAAAACTTACTAATTTAGTAGAAATCGATTTAATTAATATATTGTCAAAATCAGAAGGTGATAATTATAATCATTTATTTAGAGATTAGTTTTAGCAAATAGAAAAATGCATGAAAATAGTATCTGGAAAATTTGTTGCGTTTCCTACATTTGAAATGATTAAGCATCAATGTTGATTTAAATCATTGATAAGAAAAGTTTGAAAAATATTGCTAAATACTTTAAAAATAAAGTCAAGTTAGATAAATAGCTTAGATACCTTCTTCAATTTAATTTTAATTAATAAATTTTAGTTTTATGAGATTATTAATTTAAGTTACAGTTGCATTTTACATAGGTACTAAATAGTAATTATTAATTCAAAGAAAAGATATTCCAGATGCTGTAATTTGGGAATTCCTATTAAAGCATTAGGTTTGAAGATTTTTTTAAAGTTATTATAGTTACTTCTATAGGATCTTTTAGATTGCCATTGTGCTATATAATCCAAAGTTGATAAATTCATAGATTATCAATTTTAATTAAATTGTAGGGTATGCGATTGTTAAAGAAAAAGAAGATTGCTATCTCATTTAAATTTTAAATGAATTTTGTTATGATCATAGATTTTTAGATAGAGGTTCTATTGTTAAATCAAATAGAGTGTTGAAGAAAGTATTTGAAAACCTGAGAGAAGTGTGCAAAAAATGATTATGTTCTCAAATAAACTTTTTAATTTAATACATAATTTATATGTGTAACTTAAGCAATAATAAAATTAAACATTATCTATGATTTAGATTCAAAATTCTAAATTCTTGAAGAATATGAATAAGGCAATGAAATAACAAGATTAAATTAGAAATATTGCAATATCTGGTTTCTTTGATAATGGATAGAAATACTTATTCAATAATTTAATTTAAAAATGGGGAATATAAGTCAACAAAGATTAAGTGATTGCTGATAATGAATAAGAATTTGGAGAGGAATTTGAATCTGAATGTAATATTAAAAATTTATATTATAAAAATAAAACCAATAACAAAGGAGAAGAAGAAGGTTATCTGATAAATTTAATGAAATCTTAAAATAAATATTTTAAATAGACAGAAAATTTATCAAGATTATCAGATGGAGTTATTATTATAATTAATTTTGGAAATGAATAAAATCATGAAATAGAAACAATGATAAGAACTTTTTTGAAAGAATAAAATCATATAGTGTTTTTTCTAAATAAAATTGACAAAGCATTTTTAAAATAAAATCTAAATGGAGAATAAATTTTTTAAAATTTAAATAGTGTTATTGAAAGATTAACTTCAATTATATAATTATATGGATAAGATAGAATATTAAGTCCTGCTAATGGTTAGATAATATTTGGATCTGCAAAATAATAATGGGGTTTTTCTTGTTTGTAGTTTGCATAATTTTATGAAAAGAAATTTAGTATAGAACATAAAAGATTAGCAGAAAAATTATGGGGTGATCATTATTTTGATCCATAAATAAAATAATGGAGTGATCAAAATATATCTAAAGATAATTAATAATTAAAGAGAGCATTTGTTGCCTTTATTTTAGATCCAATAATGAAATTAGCATAAGCAATAATGAATAGTTAAAAAGATGTTGTTTATTAAATGATAGAGAGAATTGGAATTTAATTAAGTGATGATATTAAAGAATAAGAAGGTAAATAATTATTAAAATCAATTTTTAATATATGGATTAATTTAGCAGATACAATTATGTAATCATGTATAATGCATATACCTTCTCCAAGGATTGCTTAAAATTAAAAGGCTGCATATCTTTGTAAATAATATAAAGATGAAAAATTTAATGAATCAATTAAAGATTGCAATCCTAATGGGCCTTTAGTTATTTAAATTTGCTAAATGATTTCACATAAATAAGAAATTATATCGATTGGAAGAGTATTTTCTGGAACAATACATACAGGGTAAAAGATAAGAATTTTTGGAGCTCGATACAAATTTTTGTTGGTGAAATATATAGAGTATGAATAAATGGAAGAATAACAAAATTAATAAATAGAATAGACATTTTAATCAATAGGTTAGACATTTTGTTTTCCTAGAGGAGAACCTACCTTTATAGAATAAGTACCTTCTGGAAATATAGTTGGAATAAAAGGAATTGATTAATTCTTAAAAGGAACTTGTACAATATCAGATATTTAGAGTTCTATTTAAATGGCACCTATAATATATTAATATGATTATTAAGTTAAGATTACAATAGCACCTATAAATCCAGAAAATTTGAATATTGTTCTTGAAGCTATTAAATAATTAACAAAGTTGCATCCCTCAATCACTATAGAATTAGATCCATGTTTAATTTTAATAGGAAATTCTTATTACCATTTACAATATTTTATAGAATAATTAACTAACATATATTTAAAAAATGTTGAAATTAGAAAATCTAATTACTTTACAAATTACAGAGAGACTATTACAGATATATCAAATTAAAATGAAATTAAGACTCCAAATAAACATAATATATTAGGAGGATAAGCAATTCCATTAAATGATAATTTAGTTAATTAAATTGAACTTGATAATCAATTATCTATTAAATCCTTAAATAAAAATACAAATAATTGGTTTCAGGATGAAAAATTAAAAATTATTGCTTTTGGTCCAAATAAAAGAGGTCCTAATATTCTTGTAAATAAATCAAATCCTGAGGATTGTTTTCGGCTTAATGAAATTGAAGAACATTTGAATGAAACTTGGTAATGGTATACCAGAGAAGGAGTACTTTGTGAAGAATAAGTTAGAGGAATACAATTCAATATATTAAAATTTTAATCTCACGCTGATAATATTCATAGAGGACCAGGTCAAATTATACCTACAGCAAGAAAATTATTTTATGGATGTTAATTATAAGCTAAACCAAGATTATAGGAACCTGTATTTCTAGTTGAAATTTATTCAAATAAATCAGTCTTAGATTAAGTTTACAAATGTTTAAATAATTCAAAAGGAATTGTTATAGAGGAAAAGAGTTTTCCTGAAACATTCTCTTAAAAAGTACATTATTTATATAATTTAGATTAAAGCACATGTAAAAGGTCCTAACATATTTTAATTTAATGATTCATTAACTCTAATGACTTAAAATAAAGCATACAGTTCAAGTTCATTAGATCATTGGTCTCTTCTTAATGGGGATCCATTATAAATTGGTTCTGAAGTATATATATATAATTATTTTAGGCTAATCAAATAATGTAAGACATTAGAGCAAAGAAATGTTTACCTCTACAAATTCCATAATATTTATGATTGATTAATTAATTCAGAGGATTTTAGACAAAAATATATATTAATATTATTCTATATATATAATATACTTTGTAAATTTTATTCAAATTATTAGATAATATGATATTTAAAAACAAATGTAAAAAACGATATAAGAAATTTATATTCTAAATATCTTTGATACTATATTATCTTCATTTATTATTTTAAGATGATTATATTTTATTCTCATCTCAAATTTATCTGATAAATTTATACAATAAAATATGGTCTTTTTAATTATTATATGATAAAGGATGAATAATCTATCACTATTGATTTATATGGCACCTAATTTAAACAAAAAGAACCTAAAAAACATTAAATTAAACAAAATATTTTTAACAATAAAAATTATGAATGGACTAATTTTAAAAGTAAATTGAAAATGACCTGAAAAACTTAAAATGAATGACTACAAGAAAATATAAAATTCTTTAAATTTCAAAGAAAAAGTATGTTATAGTTAAGATATTAATAAAATTGAGTTAAAAATTTGAATACGATATAGTATGAATAGGAAACTAGAGGAACAAAAAGAAAATTAAAAAAGAATTAATAATTTTTCTTAGTATCATTAAAATAATAATAACTGAATCCTTATTAATGAAAATAAAGGCATAATAGCCATTTTTGACTTATCTTAAATAAAACTAAGATTAGGAATTCTAATCTCTTTTCTAAAATAAAATTGAGAATGAATTTCTAAAACACTCGATATTCAATTTTCTCTAAAAAGTTTAATTCATTATAATCAAATAGATTTACTAATATATATGAACTTTAAAATTCAACTATTTAAATTGTCTAATAATTTTGATCATTTCTTTGGAAGTTAAGCAAAATAGATTGAAAAAATATAGATTAATTATTCTTATATTTTGAAAACCAATTTAAAGAATTAGTTATCGATTTTAAGTATTCATGAAAAATCAAATTTATAAGAAATAAGAAATTATAATATGATAAATTCTAAATTTTATTATTAATATTTTAATAATTCAATATTATTGGGTGTTAAATGCTCCAATTAAAGAAACTATATCCACAGGTTATCCTTTAAGTTCCTTAATCTCCTTAAATTTTTCAAAATTCTTGAAAATTTTAGAAAAGCTCTTTTATGTACCTATATGAGCTGCTTCAGTGATCATTTATTTGAAACCTAACTTTCTACATTCTTCTGCAGATAAATAGGCACAGGAAACAGCTAATTGTTATTAAAAGTGATCAGCTCTAGTTGCAAGATGACTTAAATATGCTATTTCTTTTTTTTGTATATTTTTTGCATCTGCATACTTATCTAGCAAAATATCAACAAATTTTTAGATTTCTTACATAACTTTGGATGGCTCTGGTCCTTAATAATTAAAGTTATTGTTATTAGATAAGTCATAAGTCAAACAAGCAGATACTAGTTCATCTCCATGAAATGCTCCATAAGATAGATTCTCTTAAACCATAAAATCACTAATGAAACTTAAAAAAAATAATTACTAAAATTAAAACATTAACTCTGAGTTTAGATCATCTTCAGTTACTTTTAATATTATAAATCCTTGATTTTCATATACAAATGACTTAGTCATAAGTTATTAAATTTTCTTAACATCTTTTTATTCAAGTTTTCGAAATGTGTATACTTTCTCTTTTTCCTTTATTAAGTTAGATAAATCATTTATATTCGATATTTCCATAGTAATAATTCTTTTAAAATTTAAATAATAATAGAGAAAGAGATATTAGATTAATTCAAAAAAATAAATTTATTGGAAATATATTATTCCATATTCTCTAATTATATAAAACTTAAAAAAAATAATTATTAGTTTGTTCAGAACATAAATTAGAATTGTTTTGGTTGATCTTAAAGCAATTTAAGAGGATAGATTCTTTTGTATTAGGTATATTATTGAAAGAATGGATAAGAAAAGAAAAAATATAATTGATGAAACTATAAAATTAATAAAAATATGAAAATGGATTAAAAAATCAAAAATTTATTACACAATTTTAACATAAATTATGAATGGCTCTTAAGCATTATAAAGTTTCTATTTTTAATAAGATTACTAAATGAAGAATATATAGAATCATAATCAATCATATTCTAATTTGAAATCAGCTTAGTATTTATTAGAGATTCTTCAATTTTCTATAAAAGTTAATTATTTTTTCATCTAAAATAAATTTATAATGTAATCTTGTGAATTTAATCCAATAATTAATAAAATAAAAGTAATAGATTCAATTAATAAAGTCAAATCTAATAAGATTTTGCTAAAATTAAGATTCAATATTAGTTAATTCAATTTTATATTTTAAAAATGAGTTAAAAATAAATATGTATACATTCCTGCTATGATAAGTCTGAACCGAAATTGCTTTTTAACAATCGTGGGATAGATAATATAGAAATAATGTTCCTTCATTATTATTATTATTATACAATGATTGTCAAAATGATGAAATCAATTAATAATCTTTAAGATAAAAGTTTCTACTTTTTATTGGTTTAATCTGCTGTAGGTGCCTTGGGTGAATTTAATATCAATAGTTGATTAAAAATATCAATTTATCTATAATAACCCAAGCTGTTTTTCAAAATATCAAATTATCAAAGACAATTGGAAATATGTGGAATAAACTAAAAGATATATTCTTATATCCTAATCCTCTTGTTGCTCAAGGAAAAATTAGATATTTGAATTGATTCTCCCTTAAATTAATAACATTGAAGCTCAACTTACAATTACTCACACTCAAAGTAAGTAATTGATTTAAAAACAGGATATTCTTGAATTAATCATTCTTAATGAAAAAGAATAAACTTAATAAAAATGACGATAATATTGATGTATATTGATTATATATTATAAATATATTATATATT